CCGAAGGCTGATGTTGTGTCACTGCACCCTCCATGTCGCCTTAACGAAGCCGCTTTCGTTTGTTATATTCAGGAGTCGGGATAGTTGCCATCGCAATGTGTCGTGTTTTAGTCTGACAACGTGTAAAATGTACTTGTCTTTGCACCGCGGTTTGTTAAAATTGATTGGGAAAGAGAATCTGGGGTGTGATGAAATTTGAACTGGACGGGGAGTTAAAGCTGAAAACTCGGTCCTCTGAGGGCGTCTTCGGTAATCAGGACACTTTATTAGGCAAAACTAATTTCTTTGTTCTAATGAATGAATGTTGCTGTTGTAAGTGCTTTGATAACAGCATGTGGTGATTCACCGCTTTTCTCCTTTCAGAAGTAAGGTAAGAATTTAAACCTTTTCAAGAGGGCAGCTCCATATTCTAAACAAGAGATGAATTCTCACTTTCTTCCTTCGTTTTCAATGGCATGTTGCTTTCTTTTTAATACGAAACAGTCAACAGTCTGCCTGCAAAAATGTTGTGTTTCATACAGTAGGTACCAGGCTATTACCAGCTCCTAAAAACGGGTGAGCAGATCTATTCAGGGCTAAAAGAAAGTGTAACAGGGTGCATGAAATGCTGGTACAACATAGAGTTCCCGCTGCTTGGGACTGTGCAAACATACAAATACGCTGATTTGAGTCTCCATGTGACATTCGAGAAATGTCTGATCATGCATGTTTAACTGAAAATGCTAAAGGACTGAAATCAAAGCAAGGACTAGAGTTATTCTACTGATTTTACATAACTTTTGTTTTCTTTTTCTCTGCTTGGAGGTGAAATGTGGGAAGAAATACAGCTTTGTGAGGTCTCCCAGCAAATGCATTTCAGCCTGTAAAACTAAGGTAAGTACCAAAACAGAGAACATGTGCTCAACACAGGAACTTGGTGCAGTTACACAGGTACAGCAGGAAGGCTTCCTCAGGCTTTGATATTCCATTATTTCTTCAGGCAGAAATTGAATTTGGGTATTGCCACGCCATCTACCTTTCCTTAATTTTTAGAATTAGCAAGTGTCAATGAAAATACTGAAACATTTTACTAAAATAGTGTTACTTTCCTTCCAGAAAATAAACACTTTTATGAAGTAGAACAGGCCTATGGAGAGCTTCTACCCAGAATTGCTTTAACAGGTTACTAGGAAATGAAATGAATCATTGACAGGAGAATGTAGTCGGTTCTGATTCTGCATCAAAACCCCACACCTACTTTGGATCAATTTAACTTTTGCAGACTGCTTACTGAAAGTGGACATCTACCCTTACTCCTATTCCAAGGAAGAATGGGGTAGGTAGTAGCACATGACTGTTGGCCTGCATTTTAATGCCCTCTTTCAAAGCTGATGGCAAGCACAGGTGTCCTAACGTTCAGGAAATCATGAATCTCTGCTTAAAAGTCATAGGCTCCCATTGTTTTTTTCTCTGCCTCTCCTGACATTTATTTTCCTGAATTATTAGGCCATTAAATATGCCCTATAATAAATGTTGATGCAGTATTTTCAGTATCACGATGCACAAATGAACAGCAGCTAATTTCTTCACCATGAATTGTGGCTTCCACAATGATGAGAGTCTTCCTTGGTTGTAGGTCAGTCTTAGTTTATTCTTCCAACAAATTTCTGGATATAGGCTGTAGGTCATGGTGAGATATGCACTACAAAATGTTCAGAAGAGTCTGCATTCCACTTCTGAAAGACATCTCAAAATCCTGGGTTTTTTTCAGACAACAGAACATGCCACATTGTCAGGAAATGGAATAATTTTAAAATCACAGGCACACCATTCAAATACAGATGAAAATTATTTCTCTATCTTCCAGTTTTTGTCCTCTAGCACTCTTGAGAGGATGGAAACCCTGCTGCTCAGCACACAGAAGCTCCAATGGACTGGTACTTTTCATTTCTCTTTTTTTCTTATGTGGAACAAGAACAGTTTCTGACACAGTATTAGCTAATGGCTGACACAACACTAACAGCTGCTGCTGGAGCTGGCTTAGTGGCATAAAGGTGAGAATGATGAGAAGGAACAATTTACGCTTAGTCGACAGCATAGATCAAAGTATGGGCTAGAAAGAATCATTTTCCAAGTTGCAGATTCCCAAAATTGATTGAAGAATGAAGTGACCCAGAGTGTTTTTCTAAAAATCTTGTTAGAGCTCCTTCCAGAATTGCAGGGTTAGGATGTGAATGGGACCTTCTTGCCCACAAGCAATTGGCACTTACTGCCCTTTGGAAACCCCAGAGATGGCACAAGTAGGTAAAGTTTTGGTATAGGCAGTGAGGGAAGGCAAGGACGTTTGTGAAACTCCTTATGCACTTGGAATTTTTTTTCTTTTCCTCCATGATGCAAAAGCAGTACATGGAGTTCCCCTTGCATGATAGCAGTTAGCCTAATTCCTACTGCTGTGTAACAGCCCAAGCTCTGAGGGCTACTTTAGACCCATCTCTAGGTATTTCTACACTGAAAGGAATGTGTCTCTGCCTGCTTCAAAGCCTATTAAATCAATGCTGTAGTTTTAACATAAAAAAAACCCAAAATTTATAACATAAGAAAATAACAGGACTTTTTTTCCTTTCACTTTCTATTACACTAATATAAAACGCCGATTGCCTCTTCTGCTAAAAGAGAGAGACTTCCATTCCTCCTCTAATTCTTGAAGCTCCTCTTGTCCTTTAATACCACGGTGATTAATCTTTAAACCGAGCATTTACATAACACAAGAGAATGATTTACCTATAACCTAATGGCTGCAAACTGACAGTGGAACAAGGCAAAGCTGTCAAGAGAGCTTCCACCCAGTTTTTGGTGTTTGGAATTTGTGAGTAACCCCCCATAATTCACGGGACACTGTGTCCCAGCAGCCTAAACCCTGCTGCTTTGTTATTTTGTAAAGATTTTAACCCTTGCACGCATAACAAGATTATCAGGGGAATTCTTCAGCACACACCAATGTGGAGAGAGTAGGTGAAGATAATGAGACAAGTCATAACTGAGTGGAAATGTAATTCAGAAACATGTCAAATACGATGTGCGCAAAATATTACATTCTAAGGCTTCACATATTTGAAAGCGTTTAGGGGCATATACAGGAACAAAGGCCAGGGCAGACATTTCAAAGTGATTTCTGTTGTTTGGTGCATTTGGGAGTCATTCTGAAATTCAGTTTACAGCTGACATGCTCAAATTACACATTATCATTGGTGGTCCTCACTGATGAAATATAAAGAGGTCAGCTTCATGATTGTAACATATAAATCAGAAATTCATCCACATATAAAAATGTTTTTCTGCTGTTTTTCTGAAAAACAAACAAAAACCCCAAACTCTCAAACTGTGGTCTGGAGGCTGATGATTTATGAAGGTAAGAAGCTAAGAAGAAAATTGTAAGAAAAAATTTAATGGAGACAACATAAAATAATAGGGAACAGAATTAAGAAAAACTGTAAGAAGTGCTTTCAGAATTTTCATCGGTACTTAATACCATATTTGCTATAGTTGGCCTATTGCTTTATAAGTTATTAACAATTGTGCATAATCTTCTAGGCAATATATATTTTTTTTCATGTGGAATGTTATTTAAAAGTATTCCAGGGCATATGTAGGCCCCAAACCCATATCTAAAAAAGGCAAATGGGAGAAAGGAAAATAAACTTGACATATTGTTTCTGACAGTCATATTCACTGTAAACTCTACCCAGTTCAGGTAGTTTATAATGTACTGTCATGTTCATTCCCTGTATAAGTTACCTATCATCAAAAGAACTAGAAATTATGAGTTCAAGGATTAGTACTATGCACAAAGGAAAACCAAGCCATGAGATCTGCACTCATCTTGGAAATAATTAGTACCTGCTGATTGGGTAATTTATAAACAAATGTTGATATGCAAAAGATAAGTATGTTGTGCTGCATGTACAGCAGTACAGTAATATTAAAAATATTCAGGATAATGCTGTGAAAAATAGCAACAACAATCGAAAGTCCAACAGAGGCTTCTAACACTTATGTCATCGTGTCAAAACAGTGATGAGAAAACTTTTGAAGAAAATTAAGTGGTGCCAAGAAGATGGCAGGAGAGAATAAGACCGGCGAAGTCGCGGAAATTAACTCCCAACCCTTCCAGGCACAGGTGTCCCGGGCGGGCGCCTGCCGACCCTCTCCAAAGGTCAGCGGGGGCCTCAAGACCTCCGACACCGGCCGTACAGGCGCGCTGGGCCGCGACCCACCGAGGCTCTTCAGACAGGGCCCCGCCGCCGGCAGAACGCGGCGGCCGCGGGAGCACCCTCGGCCGTCAGAGGAGGAAGGTCTGCGCACCGTCGCCCCGCCCGCGGGGGGTCAGATGCCGGGAAAC